GCATGAGCCTCTCGCTTTGCTTCCTCATCACAGGTGCCCAGGAAATGCGAGATGGGACCCTTTTCATCCACTGCCTGGCGCCGTTCAAAGGGGGATGCCCCGGGATGACTGGCGTTATTTTGGCTGGCGAACGCGAACTGGATAGAGGTTGGGATGTAAGAAACTGCGGAGAAATGTTGGGGTTCTAATGTTGGGGTCAACTAGGATAGATACAAATGATGGAGGTGATGTGACAAGCATTGTCCAAAAGTCATCAGGAACTAAATACAGCCACCATGTAGATTTCAGGCAATGGTGAGCCAAGAATGGGCACAAACATGCCAGATCAACAAATTCCTCAGCTGTCTCGGGGATGAAGATTTACACGCTGAGTATCATGAAAGTATATATAGATTCATTCAATGGATCGATTTAGTTGACAATTCACAGGAAACCACCATACTTTTGGTGCTTTTGGTGTAGGCTGACCACAGTAACTCTAAAAATTCCTCACCTCGAGGTACTCAGCGGTCAGCTCACTTCCGCCCAGCTCTTGCCTAGGCCATGAGGCCATGGGGCCATGGATTTCAGAGGGAGTCTCACTGCAAATCCTGAAGCCTTCCGGTTACAATACACTCCAATACAAAGCCCAGTGAAATGTATCCAAGTCATTGACACTGTTTGAAATGTATTCAAAAGCCAGAGATTCGCAGTGGCAATGGGAAAATTACATGAAAGTCGACCAGCAAAGATCACCACAAGGTTTTTGAGAGGAAACCCAACTTTTCGATGGCTAAATCACCTTGAGTTGGTAGAGAATCCATGCGTTGGGATTCACCAATTTCATGCAACAAAAAATATTGATCTATAAATGGAAGTGTTTCCAGACATAATTGCTGACAGCAATGGGTGCGCTAGACCCACAACTTGCTGATTGGTTTTGGTATTGAATGATCCCATTTTGGTGATTATCTTGACCCACGCAAAGAATCTCTGGGTCGCCCATTCTCTACACAAAACATGTTTTACCTGACCACATAGAAGCCCACGAACATCGTTGAAGAATGCAAACAAGCGAGGAATTGACAGTGATCCCAACAATTGTGATGATACACATAGATAGTAATCGAGAAAGAGAGAGGGAGAGAGAGAAAGGAAACAAAAACAAATTGGAGACAGACGTGACATTGTTCAATAAGTGGGTCTTGATGTGAAAGATGCTGATTGAAATGTGGTTTCAGATTTCAGACGGCCATTCTGCCAGATCTGACCCATTGTCCATACTAATCCCTTCCCCTAGTACATAGTTTCCATAGAAACTCAAACATTTGCGGTTGCATCTGTTCATTTTGACACCCTTTTTTGGAGGATTTCAACATCCGAGAATTGGTGATTCATAATTATCGTCATAAAGAACCCATAAGAATCCAATGGCACAATCCTGTAGCCACTATAGTAGTGACATTGTCAGCTTGTCAGCCCCAAAATGTAGCTGGCTGGTGGTTGAAGTACTCCCAAACGACTGTTGTCCGCTGGAATAGCAAACAAAAAAAAACAATCTTTCGGGCTGGAAAATAGAAACAATTGAAACATGTTGAAACATGAGGAAAGTGAGATGGGATGCTCCACCAAATGGGAGTCTCAAAATGGCTATTTGAATAGGACCTATTAGGGAAAATGAAATGAACATAAATGAACCAGTGGATGAAATAGGACTTTCCCATAATTTTCGGGTACTAAGCCCCATATAGCAGGATTGCATACGTAAAGATCCCCCTTGTATCCGTTGCGATATATCTCCATATATACACCCAGATAGTGTTGGTTGGTTTGTCCTATCCCAGAAAAAATTCCCCATGATATTTCCACGATATCCCAATGATATCCCATTGTATCCCTATCCCCATATCTTTGATGGCTACACTATAAATCATGCTACCCTCTGGTAATTTTATCAGGTGGCTTACTGGAAAATTTGAGGGGCTCGAATCCAAGGCGGGCTACATATTTTCAGGTATACCAAACACATAGTACTTTAAGAATTTGAGGGACCCTGGAATAGGATTGCCAAATTCTTAAATTACTGCTTATACGTGAGGTTTGCAATTCCCCTTTGCGGTTCATTTTTTGGGCGTGACCCCTTATATCGTTTTACGGGATGAAATTGGGCTTTGCAGAAAAAAACATCAAGCTCCGAAAAATTGTTTTTTTCCCGCATGCTTGGATTGCTGCCAATCCTCCAAAATCCATATGTGGGTAGGCTGGGGACCTGAAACATTGTTTTCCTCATAGCTTGAAGAAAACGGAGGCGTTGCAGAAAAACAATTGTTCAAGCTCCAAAAAATTGTTTTTTGCACACTAACCTTAGACAAATCATACAAGCATGGCTTTGCAAAAAAAAACAATTTTTCAGGCTCTAAAAAAATGTGTTTTTTTTTTCCGTACTGCTCTCATGAAACTCAAACAAGCCCGGCTTTGCAACAATCAATTTTTCAGGCTCTAAAAAATCATTTTTTCGCATGGCTCTTGTCAAATCTGCCAACTCCACCTTGTTACCTCGTTTAAGCTTGCTCCAACTTGTGCAGATGCATGCAATACATAACTAAGAATGCCCTAAGAATTTGAGGGACCCTCGGCCTGTTGTGGTGTAAATTCGCCTGCATTTAAAATAAGAATTTGAGGGACCCTGGACGTCAAGCTTTCAGATTCTTAACCAGCGCTCGGGCTGTACCCCTTTATATACTTTAAAAGTCCAGGTTTTCCCAGCCCTGTTTGATTAATGGAGGCTATTAAGATCACCCATTCATATTCCATTCTACTCCAACACATCCCCATTACATCTTCATCCCTCATGATATCCCCATATTATATCTTCATGATATCCCCATTCCATTATAGCGGATGCTGAATCATGTGACAAACCCAACCACTTTTCACCATCCTGAATCGAGCTTTATGGTTTCGGGTTTAGGGTCTACCACCTCCCAACGTTGGTAAAGCAATAGGATCCACCATGCCCAATGGCTTACCATTTTTATGGGTGGGATTCCAACCGCCAATCCATATGGGTGGTTTATGACATTGCTTTACTAACATTACCAAGATTCTGGAATTACTCCCACATTACTGACATTACTTACATACTTACATATGGGTTGTTTATGACATCACTCTTTTGGGTGGTTTATGATTTATGACATTGCGTGTTATCATTATTACTCCCGGCAGCTTTTGTCGGACCTTTTCCAGCTATAAGTCAGTTATAACACCATTTATGGAATGATAACCCAATATAAAACCATTTGGAGGTTTCCTGAAATGTGGCTATATACACCCAAATCATCCAGGATAAAATAGGATTTTCCAGCAAATAAACCATCCGGCTATTGGGGTACTTATCCCATTTATAACTGGTAAAGGGCCGGCCCACGAGCCACGGTATGTGACCACGTTGCCATCGGCGTTTCACTGAGAACTCCTCGTCCGTGGACTGCATCTCCGTGTCCAGCTGCAGCCTAGGTGTTCACGGCAAATCCCTGAAGAAAATGGGAGATGTTTGGAGGTTTCAATAGGAAAAAAATAGGAAAATCATAGGAAAATATACGGAAATCCCTCTATACATGGGATGATTCATGGGATTATTGTGGAATAGTACTGGGATGCTTGTGGAATATACCCTCTGTCCTCAAACAGGCTGGAAAATCTGGTAAAATAAATGGGCATTTAAACGGAAGATCACCAAACGAAATGGTGGATTTTCATGGATTTTCCAGCAAGTTACGTTTGAGTCCCGGAGGCTAAATGGGTATCTATATGTATCTATGTATACGAGCAAATCATCGAACTAAACGTGGTATTTTTCCAACAAGCCATGTTTGAGCACACTAGAGGGTACCAAACATGACAATTTATATGGTTTTATAAAGTTTTATAGCAACTCTGAAAAAGATAGTACGGTAGACCGGTAGAATCTTACTAAGATAGTGGCAAATTGATGCTACGAATTCATGGTAATTACTGGCTGATACACTGGTTGATACACTGGTTGCATTGCCATTTTGTTGATTGCAAGAGACATTCCAAGACATTCCATGACATTCCCTTGCAACTGCAACTGCAGCATACTGCAGCTACATTCTGGGTAGATGTTCACATACCTACAAACTCCTCTAGGCAGAAAAAAATGCCTAACCTGGCTGTAGGGGTTTATTTCTGCCGATTCCCAGAATAAATGCTTAGGCCAAAAAAAAATGCCGAGGCCATAAATTTTTGTATAGTCTTGTCATGTTGTTCAGTGCAGAAAAATGGTTCGAACAAAATTCCGCCTAATTCCGCTTTTTTCCGCCTAGATTCCGGGTTTTTCCGCCTAGATTCCGGGTTTTTCAGCCTAACTTCTGGGTAAAAATGCCTAGGCACAAAATGATGTCGGAGCACAAAAAACATCTTGAGATAAAAATGCCTACATCAATATAAATCTGCCGAGTTTTGCAAACTTCCGGGTGAAAGTGCCTATGCGGCTGCTTAGGCGCCGAGGGCAGAAGAAAGTGCCTTAGGGCCTTAGGGTTCTTCTAGGTATCATATACCCTCTGGTAAACTAACATAACTATGGAAAATCACCATTTGGAATAGGTAAATCCACTATAAATATGGTCATTTTCAATAGCTTTTTGTTAGTTTACCAGAGGGTCACCGTTGCATACGGCACCCCAATTCTCCGCCGGATGCCCAGCGACGCCGATGCGGTTGCTGGGGTGAGTCCAACGGGGCGTTTGCCGCTGATGGGCTTGACCCTCTGGAATCCTCCTTGGACGTGGCTATTGGTCAAAACCCTGGTACCCCTGGTGAACCCCAAGTCATAGCTGGGTTAAAATGGATGTGAATAACCCACTAACAAAATCTAACAAATGTATCTCTATAGGTATTGACCCATAGCCATTTTTCGCTCTGACACAAGAAACACCAGGACCTGGCAATTCAATCCGGATATCATTTGAGCATATTTGAGCTTGTTCTGCCAGAAAATATCCAGCAATTTGTGGGACACCCCCGAAATGCCATGGGGTCAAAATGCGTTTTTTTTTCACCAGAAATAGTTTGTTCATGTTTGTTGCATCTTATTCCCACATTGTTTTGGCCCAGATTCGCATTTCTCCCTTCACGAATTTCTCGTCACCCGAGTTTGTTCTCATCATGTGCAACTTGAGATTGAGGAAATGGGCAGGCCTGCAGCAACTGGGACCCGCCAGCTCAGATGAACATGGAAGATGAACATGGAAGATGAACATGGATGCCATGGATGCCATGGATGCCATGGATGCCATGGATCACATCACATTCCACCGGAAATTCCACCCATTCCACCTGCAGGTGGTGTAGATTCCGGCAATGTTCGTTTTGCCCTGCCTGACGCCGGGGAAGGGATCGAAATAGGTGCAGAAATCTGTACAGTCAGTATATAGCAGTGTGTTTACCAATGCAAAATATGTTTCAAGTTGTGCTTGAATTCGTGTAATTAGTGTGTAATTGGTCCAATATCGTGCCACTCTGTCACTGCTTGTTTGGTACACACCACCTTCTAGTCAAGCCATTCGTGCTAGCCTTTCGAGCTTTCCCGTGACTTTGGCCATTCTGTCTTGTCAAGACTGCGTAAACGTGTTGGACTCTATCCTCCCGCAACCCGACCCGTGCCAAAAAACTTGGAGGCTTTTTGTGACCTCGGGTGTTAAGTTAGCACATTGAGGCAAGATGCTCTGTGTTCATGCTCATCTTAAGATGTTGATTCTCCAAACCAACCTTGAAGCCCGTCACCTGAGGCAGCGGCCGCAATCATGACATGTTGACACATGTCTCCACGTGGAAAGAAAACGAAAACAAAAACAAACGTGTTCCTGAACTTTTCCAGAAACTCACATGCCTAGGGATGAAGCTTGAAGTCGATACTTGGTAAGTGGCTTCCAACCCCCAACACAACTGACATTCAAATGTACCCTTGTTATCCCTTGTTTCCATGTTGCTGGTTTCCTGAATCATCTATGTTGGCAAGCCCCGGCAAATACCCAGACAGCGGAACTACACATCTTGGGATTGGTACAAGCAAATATATTATATAAACATCATGACCGTAGCTGATACTTCAATGGATATGTAAACTATATCATATTGGTATATCATGTTATGTATCTATGATATATTTTGAGATTATGAGTATGTAACCGATGTAACCTGTATTTTCTACTTCGTCAGCAGCGCTACTCAGCGGTCATCCAATCTTCCTGACCCTGGCCCAGGGACATAATCTTTCTTGCCATCTGGCAGACCATCTGGCACGAAGAACAACTTCGATTCCTTCACAACTTCCTGAGACTCGCAGGACATGACAACTTCCCCATGGATGGATTGGGGCACGAAGGTTTGTGCGGAAGTTCAGAAAAAAACCGGCAGATCACCATCGAAGAATTCACAAATCAGAAACAAGTAAATTCATGTAAATTCTATAGAATTCTCAGGTGGTTTCCTTTACCCCGGTTATGAGGCTGCCTTTCGGTCTGCCACCTTTCGGTCGCTGATGATGCAAGGCAGTTTCGGAAAGAAAAGGCTACCCGCCAAAGGCAACTGGAGAATACACGAAGATGCCGTGACTAAGGGGGTGGACCCCAACCCAACCCCAACCCCATAATATCCCCATAAGAATGGGGCTTAGTAATAAACCGTTCTATTGCCGTTCTATTGTTGGAGGGTTTTCTTGGAGTTCCATGGTTTGAGCCCTGGCGAACCCCCGCTGCAAGCCAGCGACCCATTCCTTACCAGGCATTCGGATTCGCCACTGGCAATCCTGTCCAGCAAGAAGAAAGCATTTCTCCAGAAACACGGGGGAAGATTCACGATGTTTGGCTTGCCAAAAAGCGAAGCGTGAATTGATTGATCATGGGTCGATGATAAATCACGCATTGCAAATATATCAATAATATATATCCATAATATATATATATATACGCATGCCTTTTAATATCATTGATCCCAAAAAACTGAGATGGTTGAATACCAAAAGTTTTCTATCGGCCGCTGTGAAGGCCAGGTGAATCTAGAAAAAATTGGATGCGGATTCCACGTCTTTCCATCCCTAAAAACCGGATCACCATACTCTATGAATAGCTATGAATTGACTACATTTGACTACTAGTTAAATATATGATATACTATAGTCTATAGATGTCTATACTGTATGACATGAATTGACTGATGAAAAAAATACCATTGTCATCCATGGTCTATTTTCTCAGAAAAACTACGCTTAAAAAAAACAATCATTTTTGCGTTGAAACCCATACAATTGCGTTTTTCAACAGCGTTGTCGCAGTCGTTGTCTCATCCCACGTTCCTTGGAGGTTAACTCTGCCATCTGTCGCAAGTGGCCACCGGACTTGTCAACCACCAAGATGGCCTTCCTGGAGAAAATTCGAAACGGAGGTGGCCACGAACGTCGCTGGGCTGACGAGTTGCCGTTTATGAATGGACAGAATTTGTGGGACGGTTTATGAATAAAGAGCAGGACTTTTTTGGGGTATTTTGTTGGGTATTCATAGAGGGGATGAACAAACTACTTCAGCTAGATCTCTGCCTCAAGCATCGAGTGCTGGTGAATCTTGTTACATCTTGTTACTGCTTAATCTCCACCCAAACAAAAGTGGGATAAACTATAGACACGTACAATAAACTAATGGTAGAATATACATACATATAATACATATATACATAATATAACTATATATCATAACATCACATTTATACCTGCTATAATCTGCCATACATGTGAATATATGTGATATTTTCAGCCCAGGTGTCTATTTCAAGGGATCATCCGTTGGGTCCAGACCAGTCCAGACCTATCGACCTATCATCCCAGCTCCGAGCATTCCGAGCTGCGTGAATGATTTACTTCCCGAGTAGTGCGTATAGACTTGCCAATTGACCTGCGGTCGATTCATTGGACCAAAGGGATCCCTTAAGGGCACTGCCCAATACATGCTTATATGCATTAACAAAACTATGTGAATAACTGGTATAGTAATGCTTTTTCATGCTTTTTCCATGCCCTTCAAACCAAAAGGAAGACGGTTTTGATGGGTAAACAATGTATGCAAACAACAGCAACAACAACAACAACAACGGGGGAAGACTGGCGTTTCCTTCACCGATCAACCAAGGCAAAACTGGGTGACCCCAAAAGTGGGCATTTGGCCAACATAAAGGCGCTACATAAGTCGTGTGGTGCCAAGAGGGGTGGGGCATGGTCCAATGGTGGGGCCCCTCAAAATAGAAAATAAAATGCAAGGGCCTAAGAACAACATGTATATCATATATATCGTAATTATATGGCAGTGGGTCAAAACCCTGGTACCTAGTGAACATAAAAATAGCTGGTAAATGGATGTTCATCCCACTAAACATGGTATTAATAGGTATTGATCCATACCCATATGTATATATCAATTATATAGATGGTCAAACATTTGTACCCCCAAAAACTGGATGGTCAATACGAAATGCAACATCTGCGGTCGTTGTCTGGGGGCATGAAATTGTCACAACTCATCAACAATCTGTCGCTGAGATCCAATGAATTTAAACAATTTTAAACATATTAAAACCATACAAGCCGTAATAATCCGTAAAGTTTGGCAATGAAAACTTAGTGACAACTGAAGTGAGCCATTCCCTTGTGGCTACTCAACCGAAGCTATGGAGCTTGCGGAGATCATTTCATCTGAAAAACCTCGAGCCAGCATTGGTGTCCCCTCAGACCAGTCCAAGTCGCATCCACTTTCTTGGTGAGGCCAAGTGAAACGTTGGACACGAAGCTGGTCTGCAGGCCGGACAAGTGCCACAAGTCAAAGGTGCCCTGGTTCAGCAGAAGATAGTGCCTGGGGCCGACCAGGACGCCAAGAAGGCACACAGGATCGCCGACCATGGTAAGGTGCCATCAATCTTATGATAAATCTGGGGAAAGCATCTATCTCTGCAGGGTGGTGACCCTTAATTAGCTAAGTTTGTGAACATGACTCCGATAATTAGGGTTGATTAGGGGGTATATCTACATGGAGGTTGTTCAAAATTATGGTACTCCAAAGCGCCCTTACGCCGCCCTTTCGCGAACCTTTCGCGCCCCAGCAGAATCGGGACAGGGAATTATGATCATGTTTTCATGTGTATATTTCGAAAGAAAGATTTACAGGAGGAGTGGATTAAAAACAAGGAAGTGGAAGCATTTGCCTATAGGTCGTTTTACAGATTGCCCGACAACGGAAACACAGGTTAAAAAGACCTTGAAGGGTTTTTGCAGTGGCAACATTGCAAGACAAACTAAACCATTTTGGGCCAAGGTGGGATCCTGGCAGACTCGCCTTTCCCCAACCTTTCGCGAACCTTCGGCGAACCTTTCGCGCATTTCTCGCCTATGATTTTTTTGTATATGTTTTTTTGTTTAACTCATGTTTGATGAGAAGGCGGGCGGGTGTTTCAGTTCCAATACTAAAACCCATTCGTATCTGGGAAAAACTACCAAAATGATTGTTCAATGGTTGTATGAATGCAACTATAACTGCCAAGCATGAATACGAAATATCGCATATACATCTAGTCTTATGGTTTGCGTTGTAGGCTAAAGCCAAATATGTTATTTTGCCCTGTATTTGCATCGCGGTTTTGCTATGTAAATCCAGTTGCGTCGCATGTTTGTGATGTAAATCCAGATGTGGATTCTGGATTTGGATTCTGTTAAGTCACAGTGACAAGCAAACATTCTCACATCAGAGGCCCAAATCAAACCCAACCAGACCACACCCAGGAAAAGCACAGACAGCAGCCTTTTTTTCTCAGCATAGAAAGCTAGAATCACTTCACTGGCCCCACATGCCAGGATTATAAACATGATTATCCCATGCGTGTTGTCATGTATGTATGTCATTTGTATGTATGTACGGTCTATTGTAGACTAAAAAGTGAATGTATGTAATGTAATGCAATGTATGTAGGTAGGTAGTATGTCATGTAATGATAATTTTATGTATGTAGAGTAGAGTGCATAAGTGTAAGGTGTAAGGTACTTCAGGTATGTTATGTGCAAGACTTAAGGTATGTCTGTAAGACATGTAAGGTGTGTAATGTATAATGAATGAAAGTTGCATGAGTATAAGATCTGGTGCATTGATGTATGTATCTAATGCATGTAATAGTTATTTAAGCGTAAAACTCCTAGGCGGCACACAAGCAAGCAACTGCTAGGGCGCCGCGCTGTTTTACTTGAGCCAAAAGTAACATATTGAACTATGTGAAACCACGGGTCAAGCAGTGGGTAAAAGCATGACCTTTAAGTTTCCTAGTCCTGCTACGCCTGAGAAATGTTATGTACCATAAGTGTATGTCCCATTCAACTCCCCCCTCATTTTGAGTGGCGAGCGGACAACACCCTGACAAGTCTAAGGTGTAGATTGTCGGACACTCAGTAGTTGAAGTAGTCGATCCCAAAGCATCGGTTGAATTACCTTTGTTAGTGCATCTGCTGATTGCTCTTCAGAGTTCACATGTTCTGGCTGCATGTGTCGCTCATTGATGAGCTCGGCAAGGCTAGCCAAATCAATGCGATGAGTGCGTGATGCATGTCGTAACTTAACCGAATACCCTGAGTGTAGGATGGACAAGGTTGCAGCGTTGTCCTCTTTGAGTCGCATTGTGATTTGACGACCAAGGAGCTGCCCGAGCAAATCAAGCAAAGGCTGTCCTTCGGAAAACACTGCTCCAGCCATTGAAATTATTTCTGCCTCTGTTGTCGAACGAGCGACTGACGTTTGGCGTCGCGAGTTCCATTCGATCGGCCAACGCGAAGCTCCAGAAGAGAGAAAAATCATCATGCCGGACGTTGATCGCGCAGTATGCACGCATGATGCGAGGTCAGCATCTGCATATACATGTAGCTCTGTGTCACTAAGTGTGCCAGCTTGACATATCATTTTATACTCCCTAGTCCAGTGCACGTATGCCACAAGGCGGTGGAGATGAACGTCTTCTGCTCGGCTCCATACTGTGATCCTGCTCGCCAGCCTGCCTACTGAAAAACTAATGTCTGGTCGACAAAGTCTTGCCAACCAGAGACCCTTCATCAGCACCTTTGATGCATGTGGTTTCATGGATCCTGGTTGCTCGTACAAAGCGTCAGCTAGCGTGCTATCATTGATGTGAGGAGTAGCAACCTTACGCAATGATTTCGGATCAACACCAGTGATTTCGAGATATAACTGCACGAATTGATCAGCATATCCAACCATGGACATAACTATGGTTTGTGGGGTTTCAAGTTCATGCAAACGACCCAAAATGAGCACTGCATTGTTTGGAAGCAAGGTTTGCGGATCCTCGATCTTGATGAGTTCAGAAAACCGCTGCCAAAACTTGGTATGCAGATGCGAAGCTCCTGATAGTGTCAGGTCATCGACATAAATGTTGAGAAGCATTCTGTGGCCATCAAGGTTAAACAGAAAGTTGCTAGGGAACCCCTGGATTTGTTGAGCTCCAATTCTGGAGATCCGGGTCTCCAAAAACTCTTGCCATAGGCGGCCAGCCTGCGGGTGTCCGTATAAGGACTTTCGAAGCCTCACGGCAACTCTGCCATTGAATTTGGATTTCCACTGGCTCAGCCACAATTGTCGTGGCAAAATAACGAACGTGAGCTCATCTTCAGGAAGGTAGCTCTGCAAGAATGCTTGCACTGCGTCTGCAGTTGATGTAGCATGCCCTTCAAGGGCGCCCCACCATAGGCAAACATTCAGGGCTATCAGTGTAGTTGGTGATGTGGACACTTCAGTGAAGAGAACGATGTCCCCATTTTGTGTAAACACTTTGTCACCCCTGTATACAATTCTTCCCTTATATTTATGTTTGGATTCATCAAGTTCAGCGTGCTTGATACCGCACAAAACCAAAAGTTCAGCAATACGAACATTCTGACCTAAGGTTTTTGATTGGAATATCAACTGATCAAGATCACAAACTGTCGAATCATCCCTTGTCTCGTTCGAGCGTAGTCCTTGGCACTCTTTCTCGATGGCTGCCAAAGCACGTGGATCTGTGCTCCACTGGCTACGATTGAGTGCCTTGGTCACTAAACCAAATGCCTGTACATCAGTTCCAAACTCATCACAGTGATCCTGTTCTTGGGCTGGCTGACAACCTAGAGCTGGGATGTGTGACGAATAGAACTGCTTAGGAAATAAGGCTTCGGCAACAAGGTTCACAAATGGGATGGTGTAAAATGCGGTTTTAGCAGCATTGCCTCCCTCACATGGCTCATGTTGCTCTGCTGTGTGGTTGCACTGCATTTCCGCAAACAACTCAACGATTCTACGATCATTGGTGGCCAACATCCATGGTTTCTTCAATAACTTGTTTTGTTTGCCCTTCAGCTGGAGCATACACCCATGAAACTGCACCATCATGAGCTGGTGCCGCCTGCAAAATTCGACGAGGTTTGGAAGTCGCCATCCTTTGCAGTAGGTCGGCCATTCCCAGACGAAGCGACCATTGTGACTGATCACATATTCCCCAACCTGTAAAGCTAAATCCACCATGTATGAGGAGTCCTCCTGTTTTTGGGTGAGATCATTCAGAAAGGATTCCCCAAGGCGGTGAATGTTGAGTTCTTGCAGGTTGGACCACGGGTCGCAAGGAAGTGAAATCCAAATGTCTGCGCCATGATGGGACTTCAACTGCTCGACAAGCTGAAGAACATGTTGGAAATTGCTAAGGTCTATGACATCCTTGGTCAACCGAACAACTTTGATATCGTATTGTGGTGTTATTTCCCCAATCAATGAGTCCCCACTGCAAGCATATTCATACAACACCCCAACCCCAGGGAGGTCAGTTGAAAGGCGTCTGATTCGGGATAGGCCTCCCCATACCTCGTGTGATTGCGAAGCGGCAATCATACCTTCGATTGGTGGGGCCTCCTCATCTGCCAAGATGCTAGGTTCGTACCCTGGCGACGGTGCTGCTTCGTCAGTATCTGGCGGCGGACATTCGGGAACAAGGTCATCTTCAAGCCTGGGTTCTGCCAAGTCGCGTGAAGCGAACGTTGGCGACCCAGACCCTTGACCATCGCGAATATCATCTGCAGATGCAGGCCGAGGCTTTGCCTCAACCGGCACTGGCTTGTCTGCACGGATGAGGCGATTGAACCTATCCCTACACGCCTTGGAATGTCTCGAGGTGAGAATCTCACAACCTCTGCAGTCATCAGTGCCACCGTACTTGATGAGACGATCCAATGTGATGTACTCAGCGCGGGTCTTGGCTGGAAGCTCGATGGGTTCATCACTGAAGGGAATGCTGATGGGTGGAATCTTTGATGGATCTTCTGTGTTGAACTTAGTGAGCGATTCTCTGTGAGCAGCTTTCAGTGGTAAAGTTAGATGATCATCAAAGACTACCTCTTCTTGTGGTACCGCAATCAGATTTTCAAAACCTTTGGCCTGAGTGCGAACTTTCTCATAATCCAAAATCAACACGACCCCCCTGTAACGACATCCGTTCTCAAGACGCCATCCTGCAAAGATCCCCGGAACACAAGAACCAGAAAACTTGTGGAGCTTTGTGCGATCACTGACCCTGTAGTAAACCAACTGACCCAACAACCAATGTGGCCCGTCAAATCTTTGACCTGAAGCTGCCTCAAGGCGTGTCAAGTGTCTTTCCCCTTCGGGTGGTTCAACATCGGGCTGATTCCATCCTAATGCAAGCGAGACTGTGCAGTATTGCACGGTGATTGGCCACAAGGATGGATACGCAGCAAAGCCAGAAGACAAGTGAGTTGCTCTCACTGACTCCTGAAAAGTTCGAATGTCCCGTTCTAGCCGTGAGTTATGCGGCC